AGATATTTATATACATGTAATAACATAAAGGATTTAGTTCCGGAAAAGTTGATAAATATCACAGATTTGGTAGTTTTTCAAAAGATTTAGACATTGCACAAATAATTTTTCAATAATTTTGATATTTAAGTCTATTTATGCATTCGAAAAGTATGCATTTCTGTAGAGATTTTGGCTAATGGCGGTTATGAAGGAACCACGACATCACTGTCTCGATAAATTGGAGTATTGTAAGAAATTTACATTTCATGGACTATCGATTGATTGAGTACTGTTTTTTTTTTAATCTATGCAACACAAAGCATGCGGGCGCAATAGTGCGGGCGTTCGAAGTTTCCGTTCTGTGCCGCTTGTTGATATTGCGCTGTCACTAGGTAAAAATGTTTCTATTCTAGTGTCGACATTGTATATATTCCTTATACCGCGTTTTGAAGGGCACTTAACTCATTACTCATTGTGTGATGCTCTATAAACTCGACCTCTACTTCAGCTAGGCGATTTGAATTTTAAAAATGTTATAACGATTATGTTTGTTTTACGGCCAAACCAAGTTTTGTGTATGCATCGTCATGGTTCGTGTGATATGTTTGATAAAAAGGTTTAAAATTGTGTAAATTTTATCTATAGTTCGATGAAAGTTTACTACACAAAACGCTCCAAATGTCATCAGTGTTGACTGTTGCTACATCGACTCGAGTCGATGTAGAGAGTAGAGACTGGAAATTTGCTATACTTTGAAACTGAACTTCTGTTACTGCAAACGAATCTAGAGGTACATCAATCGCGAAATAAATCCTTTTACGTACTGTTTACTGTTTGACTCAAAAGCGAATCATGAAAGATAAAGAAATGAATCTCTGTCTTGCAAAGTACTTTCGCTATTAAATCTTCTTAGATTAGATGACTCCGTGGCGCAGTTGCCAAGGTATTGGCTTCGGCGTCTGGAGTCGTAGGTTCGATTCCTGCACGGGACAAGTATTTGTGTGGCCCACAGATAGTTGTTTCGCATCCGGGTGTTTTTCCACGCGAAATTTATGTTTGTAAAACGTAACGTAAAAAAAAGATTCGTCAGTGGAGTTTCTTAGTTCATAAACTGTTCAGATTAATGTTAGCGACACGTAATGCTTTATAATAAGAAGGCGTTCGAAATATTACAGGATTACGAGTTTTAGCAAGACGAAGAAGTCGTACAAGTTCACCAGTGTCTGTGTTGTGGTATTTGTTTGTAAGTACTGATAGTTGACCGCAGAGCGACGCACATTCTAGGCGCCAGTATTAAGGCCGGATTAAGTCTCCTGCGATATTTTCATATCTTTCATATGTCTGGTAAATTGTGGGCATAACATTTTCTAATACCATGTTCTCTTCGTACTGAGCGGTAAACGGATTTGGCGTCCCAGTCCAAGCTAGTATCAAATCTATGTTTTATTTAGCGAATAACTTCAAAAACTCATTAAAATGCGTGTAGGGTCTATCATCTCCTACTTAACTTCTATGTAGGATCATCTTCTATATCGGAATTAACAAAATATTAATCAGGGTTCACAAAAAAAAATAATACGTACTTTTCTACCTTTTGGCCCTACGAAACGAATAGAAATATCTAAAATATATAAAGTAAATAGCTTTTATTTACTTTTCCAGTAATTATAGTCCCTTTGACAGGTGAGACTTGTTTTCGTACTAGTCATTAACTGAAGAAAAGAGAACCAAAATTCTATCAATAATTACAAGAGAATAATTATTCGTCGAAAAATATTTATTAAAAGGCCTCTGTAAAATTATAACATTTGGAACGGTTTGATGAGTGCATGATCAAAGAGTAGGAACGTTTCGATAGACAATTTCACAGGCGAATAAGCAACCGGCTACACTGCGAACGTATGTTACGTAGTACTCTAAAGTGTGCCTATAATGCATGATTATTATTGTTTTATGACGGCAAACGTTATAAAACGGAACTTTTCCCACATTGGTCTACAGAGCATTATACCTCTTATTTGTATATCTGCATTCTCTTCTACGATTCCAGGTGTTATCTGCGCTTTTGCCTTTTTATTAATTAGAGCTTAATGACCCTTTCTTTTTTATGTTTATTAATATGATAATTTCTGAATTATTTCAACACTGGTTGACTCGGTGGCACCGTTGCAAAGCTGTTATCGGCTTCGGCGTCGGTGTTCGTGGGTTCGATTTCCACACAGGACAAGTATTTGGTCACAAATACTGTATATAGTGGTTTATCCAAAGGTAATCATCATTCCAGATCTGGATGTTAGTTTCCCAAGGGGGGTTGACATTAGACAGGCGGCTGGTCATAAAACAGCCAGAACCGCTTATAACATGATTCACCAATTGTGCCTCACCTAGGTGTGATAAAGGCAGGTGAATTATTGCGTTTCTTTTTAAAATTAAAATTCTGACATGTTTAACAAATTACAGCATCCCATATGTCAGTCACGAGACGGACAGAATTGTTTTAAAATCAAATGTAACATACCTTACCCGAGCCACCAGAGTGTTTAGTTATTAATTTGGTCATACCGAATAGATTAGATTAAATTAAATTAAAATTTTGATATTATTAATTAGTGTTTATGATCTTTTTTAGCTTATTGCACCTACCACAATCTCTCTCCACGTCCCGGGTTGACTGGGAGAGAATGCCCAAATGGCATTAAGTCCGCCCTTTGTAATCCTTTTTTTTTAAGGTTTTGCAATAAAGCATAAATAAATAAATAAATAAAAATGGTTAAATAAAACTTAAAACGGTTCTACAACTTTTGTCAGATTGAATTCTTAGTTTGTCGATGCGTTTATCCATTACTTGACTTGAACACCTCTTAGCACGTTTCAGAGTACATTCCATGCAAGCAACGGTGTATAAATAGCTCGGCCCAATCAATCGTTCTCTGTTCTGACTACTGCAATATGATTGCGTTCAACCTTGCCTATTCACAAAGGCTCCATTGACTGTCAATTGTTTTTTGCTCCGCCAACATTGCGTGACGCGGCCAGGTGCGCGAGATTGGTTAGTTTTATTTGTTTTTGAAGGAGCCGGTAAAAGAGGGGCCTACCTGATCACAAGCGAGTACTGGGTCAGTGTTCGATTTGTCTATAGCTTACATGAAAGCTCCTGCTGCGCGAATAGGTCGTCTCGATCGGGAGATATCACGCACCTCGCAGAACACCGGTGTGGAGTACAGCTGTTTGTGGTTTTGCGTTTCGTGCGCTGAATGAGCTGGTTCATTCAGTCAGTGTTAGAAACGCGCGTGCAACACCTGTGATATTGAGTCCATTGCCGGTGGAACTCGTTTACCATCGCGTGGACCGCTAGCTTCGCTGCCATCCCTTTGAAATAAAAAGTGTAATCAAATAATGGCACCATTTGATAGTGATAAACGAAATTGACACAGATTAATAATGTATTTTTTTTGTCAAAAGTTGTATAAAGCGCGCAGGCGGTTCACGTGATGTTTGGTGACTACCGCCGCCCATGGACATCTACAGCACCCGAAGACTTATAGATGCTCCATGTAGATGACAACCTTTAATATAATTAACCTATTTATCACAATATTATGTAACAAGCGGGCTCCGTTTGCCTCACGGACCAGACCAAAAGTGAAAGTATAATGTTTCCAATTCGCGCCGGGCTTATTGGAGTCCATGGTACTTCCCAGGATGAGCCTGCACACTCGTGCAACAGTATGCTCGTGGCTTTACCACAGTAACATTTTTTTTTAATTGTGATTAATTGAGAATGGCGTTTGAATTAAATAAAACGATATATGAATTTTAACGATATTTTCAGTTTTAAATTTGTGCTAATCACGATTTAAATTTAAAACGCATTCAGTTTGTGGAGTGCTTCAACAGATAAAATAATAACAAACGCGACATAAAAGGAAATTGGTATCATATAACGTCGCTCTGCGTATTTCCCCTAAAATAATGGCTCGTAGTTCAGAGAGATAAATGTAATTCTAATCTTGGGGAATTCAACGGATGGTAATCCTGTGTATAAGTTTTATCACATGTATGAACATAAGAGTAAATTATTAAAGTTTTGGTACGGGAGCAAACTGCAATATGTTAATCCTTTACAAAGTCTTATACGATCGTTGTTTTTTAAGCAAGTTACAATAGACCGTCTTAAATAAGATGTACACATTGTAGTCTTGTATTTCTTCTGGCGAGTGAGGTAAGCGGGGTCCACTAATTTAAAGTTAATAATTGAAATTACACAGGTGTTGTAGGAGTGTCATTATTAATCATTGGGTGAATCGCCTGCTATTTTCTGCCTTCACACGTAACGAGAGCGTCTAATTGTTAAGTAGATTTCTGTGAGTAGGCATACTGAACTAGTTCAATGGAAGCCATACAGGAGAAAGTGGGATAAGTTTTATCCCTTGCCCTTCGTGCTAATCGGCCTCAATGTATCCAATGTTCGTAGTATTTAAGACGTATTTATTAGGTCTATTAAGAATTACTTGTATTTTGAGATGTTTTATAAATACATGGAAAATGGTGAATTGCTGAAACAAATTACCTCTATTATAGAGAAGAGATAATTATTACAATTATGAAATCTAGCGGAGCGTTACTTAAGTTTTTTCATAATAAACATTCAAAAAGTAAATGTTCTTAAAAGAGTGCACAATAATAGCTAATCAAGCATAACTGAAGTAACCCATTTTATTATACGTTTATTTTAACCAATTTATTTTTATTTCCAAATTAAGCGGTCGGTCACAAGTCATTGCATAAAGTATTTGGTTGGATCAGGGTTGGATCAGGGGCACCACCATGGATTCCGTCATATGCAGTAGAAATTTGTCAAACCATTAGGCGAAGGAAAACAGCTCTGCATTCTGTGGGTCCCGTTTTACCCTTTGGGTACGGAACCCTTAAAACTATTTTGAAAGGAAAAAATAACAATTTCACGTCTAGCATAATATCTGAATATTGTTAATATTGTAAATATTTCTTTGTTACAGACAACGAGCGAAGAATCAAAGCGAACAACAGGGAGTACAATGCGCAGTTTCGCTACGCAGTGAGTATTATTACGCTTTGAATTTGTCTATTTTTCACATAACAATACACGCTGTGGTAGGGCCACGCAGTAGTTTTGGCTGTTTCACGAATGGGCAGGCTCGTCCAGGGAAGTGCCATGGTCTCTCAGAAGAGCGGCATGAAGTGGAAGTATAAACTTTCGCTTTTTGTTCTATCTTTATTCTTTATTGTACACAGAGTATAAGTGAAAACAAAGTTACAAAAACAATTGTGTGTGGGTACATCTGTACACGCGTTAGAAGTTATACTCCTTTGGCGTAACAAGATAAAAATCTTTTCAAAAATTTTATCTTTCACCTTATTGTACGTTTGTAGAAAAAAATGCACTAACAAGAAAAAAGGTATTTAATACATTGAAAATTTTTTATAACACATTATCTAGTTAAATAAAGTTTATTTAAATATCACAAAATAAATATCATGGGTATTCAGTAAGAGTATTCAGTTGTCAGTTCTCACGCAAACATACGTAGATGTCTACCTAACTTCAGGCTGTCGGTTTTTTGTAACGGTGTGCGCGTGCATCGTAAAAATTTACTCTCATCATTTTTCCCCAACGCGCCAAAAGAAGTATAACTTCAAAATGTACAAACGCGAGCTTAACCCTAAGAGTTTTTGTCTGCCCACTTTTTGAAAGGTTGTCTACGCACCTCCAAAGCTTTAACTATTGGAGCTGTCCATGCGCGGCAATAATCGCTTAACATCAGGTGAACCGCCTACTCGCTTGACAACTATTTTACATAAAAAAACCATATCTTTCTTATCCAGGTGTAAACAGGCACGCTGTATTGTAGCGGTATAATTTAGTTATTTTTAAAAACTATTTTATGGTCTTGGACGCAATTATTTTAATAATTTTATTTGTGACTAGCCTACGTCTGAGATGTCGCCTACATAAATCTTAGAATGGAATTTACAACCTTCGACCCGTCTTCGTGCCATATGCATCGATACAAGGGCTCTTTACTCATTCTTTACAGCGATAATAGAAATCCAAATATTGAAAAAATACATATAAAAAGATATTTTATATGTATTGTTTCACTAACCGTAAAAATCGAATCGAATGTGTTTACATTATAATATTCTGGTGCGATTTTTTATTTACATTGCAGATTAATTTTATTAAGCTATATTTATTGGTACTAAGTTGAATCGCTTCATTTCATACTTCAAGTATATTTATAAATCTCGTTACACAGAGTCATGAACAAGAATGCTACATTGCGTATGCAATAGGGAAAGTCCCTTCGAGCTTTAATTACGCTAAATAATTGATTATTTTATGATATGATTATTTTTTCTCCTTTGTGATTATTTATGCATTGTTGGAGAGCAAAGAAAACGGTTATGTATATAAAATAATGTGAAAGTCAAGTTTAGCGTCTTTTTTTTGTTTTTAAGTATTTTAAGCTATTTTAGTGGAAAAATATATTGAAATAATAACGTTTTTTGTCTCGCATTATTAAAGTAAAGTAAAGTAACAGCCTATAAATGTCCCACTGCTGCAAAGGCCTCCTCTCTGTAAAGACGGTATCAGGTCATAGTCCAACACGCGACCCCACTGCGGATTGGTGGACAGCACATATTTTTTTCGAAATATTTTTTTTTTATTTCGAAAATATGCAGGTTTCCTCGCGATGTTTTTCTTCACCGCCGAGCACGTGATAATTGAGCACTTAAAACTAACAATTTCATTGGTGCTGGCACCGGGGATCGAACTCAGTTCAGAGGATCACTCGTTCCTCGAGTATAGTGAATTAAAGGCGAGCGCCCGGATACTGAGCTATCACGCATTATTAAATTTGGACATAATTGTTTTTATATTGATACATAACCAGTGTTTAATCGTTTTTATAAATCAGACGAAAAAATGAGATTTGAATTGATACTTTTTTTTTCAATAAATTGATCATGTTGCATTTTCTATAAAACCATGATAACTCAAAAATGGTTCACTTTTGCATAATGCATATAGGGGTTAAAATTATCGCAAATATTCATCCATATGACCTCCCAACGGGAATACTTCGAATTACCAATAACCCTGTACTTGTAAGTTATCACTGTGCTTAGGATAATAAGTACTTTAATGACATAAAAGCGACAAGAATTGGGTGATAAAAGTTATAATTTAAATGAAAAAGGAGGCTTTCTCGAAGGGTAAAAATAAAAAGGTTCACCAAGACCTTTATTTAATTTTAGTTATTCATTTGATTTCCTGCCGTTTGATTTTTCTTTGATGTAACCCTTTCTTATATGAGCGTGTGACGCTCTATTTTCTAATACGAGTTCCGTTGTGGCACCTGCACAGTACCTGCAGAGCACCCATTATTATCAACGACATGTATGGACCAGGTACCGTAAGTGAACGAACCATGTTGATTCGATCGCTTCCGTTCTGGAAATTTTGTTGACAATAAGTCCCGTAGTCACCCGGAGACGGATATGGATAAAGTCGAACTGAAATCTGTACTGGAAGCAAACAAATTTTCATGACCAAATCTATCTCGGGTGATAGTTCATAAATGCGTCGTAACGTGAAGTCTCGTGAACGTCAGCTCCAGTTCCGTGGGTAGGCTGAGCAATAATCTCCCACGTAGGAAAAAAATTGTGAGATTCTCTTGATTAACTGTTATAACCATTACATGGTACTAAGTGCTGAGGATCTCAGGTAAAAAATATAGTATAAGTTAGTAATAACGAATATCTGTTAAGATGTTAAAGATGATAAAATTGTAATACTGTGTTGGTAATGCTCTCTTGCGTCCTGGTCTGTCCGAAAAGATAGAGATAATACTGACAATCGTAAGATAACATCGGAGAATGATCACACAGCGTTATACGGGAGTTGGTCCAAATTAGAGGAAAAGGACTGATAAGTCAAACGTGATAAGGAAGATAGAATAGATGAAAGACAGATTAACAAGAAAATCTAATTAAAATGGCCACAAATAATATGTTTAGTCTTAAACAATAAGTTTAGTTTCGAAGACATCTAGGACTTAGCAAAATAATATAATTTTGCTCGTACACTGAGGAATTAAAAGCACCATATATTTTTTTATGTTAGAAGGTGGTAAGCGAAAAAAAAAAGCAGTGGCAAAACAGGTTTTTTTTTCTTCTCAGGAAAAACTTCTTTCGGTTTTTAAGTTTGAAAGGTCAATAGAAAACTCTTACGCCAGGTTTCTGAAACACCGATCACCGTAGAGGTCAACTAATCAGCTGTCATCATTAAAAAGATCATTCTGATCAATTTAGTTATAAGGCTTCGGTTTTATTTAATTTTGTTATCATGTTATCAATACCCGATGGGGTTTGATTGAACTTTGTGAACTTTTAATATTTATTTTAAGACAGCAGCTGCACAACTCGTTTGTTAAAATTGTTTACAAAGCAGAATCAAACGAAAAAACTCTAACAGGAGACAAGGTATTAAGCCAAGTCATCAGTCAGAATTTTCCAAATTTGTTGAAACTTTCACAGATTATAACTGATTAGAGTTGTTCTGTATTTCTATAAACTATCAACTTCTAATTATGAAAGAAATGAAATTTATTCATACAAATCGAACAATATCTCTATGTTTAGAAAACTTATTTTTGACGAAATGAATCAAGTTTAATTGATGAGGAGTCTATTGACTTAAGAAATCGTTACTTTCAGACCAGTAAAGTGCGTATTCCTCAAGATGCCCTTCGAAGATCTTACAGAAACAGCAGATTGTTTAGGAAATCAAGCGTGGTTTACTTTTGGTTAAAAATATTTTTCGTGATTTATGTTGAGTTATTTTGAAATTCCTTCAAGAAAACCGCATCTGGTTCAGACCTTTTCAGTTGTAGATGTATGTTAGCCATGGATTGATAACGGTTTATTTCATATGCTACATCTACTTTTCAAGTCAATCAAAATGTTAGTAGCTGGTTTATTGCGTAAATAAGGTTCCGTTTTATGTTCTGCTTGCATTAAAGAAGAAAGTAACGTACAATTCATCAAAATCTTAGTGAGGATGTTATTCGATGATACTTTTATTGCATTTTGTAATGTTTAACATCCGTGGTAATTCAGGGTCCGGGCGCTCACCTTTAATTCTATACAATCGAGCAATCTGAGTTCGATCCCCGGTGCCAGTACCAATGTATTTTTTTTTTACTTTTAAGTGATGACTCACGTGGTCGGCGATGAAGGAAAACATCATAAGGAAATTTACATATTTTCGTACTAATAACAAAAAAAATATTTCGAAAGTGTACACACATGTGGAGTCCGCCAATTCGCAATGGGGTCGCTTGGTGGACTATGCCCTAATACCCCCTGTACAGAGGTGGCTTTTGCCCAGCACTGGGACATTTATAGACTAACCTAATTTTTATCCTTTCCATCGCAGAACAACTACATCAAGACGTCGAAGTATTCGATAATAACGTTCCTGCCATTGAATCTGCTGGAGCAGTTCCAACGGCTCGCGAACTTCTACTTCCTCTGTTTGCTGGTGCTGCAGCTGATCCCCGCGATATCTTCGCTGACTCCCATCACCACGGCGATCCCCCTGATCGGGGTGCTCGCACTCACAGCCGTCAAAGACGCCTACGACGACTTTGTAAGTAGGAAACACTTTGTTACTACAACATCTCTGTCTTTACGCTAATCTGAGATCTTGTCTCTGAAACTCAATACCTGTATGTTGAGGAGAGAGGATGTTGTATATGTGTATATACAGTTGCATGTATTTGTATCCAAAATTGGCCAACGTGCAAAAAATTCAAAAAACGGCGTGGTAGGATTCGATTATTATAATTAACTTGCCGATTTTTATCAAGGAAAATATTTAAAATTAAAGAAAAGAGTCAATGCGTGTCTCATTTCCATATCAATTATTAGACTTACCTATATTAAATAAATGTTTAAAATTTTATTATAATAATATTAAACTGCCCACTAGCTGTTTTCGTTTCGTTAATTTTTCTTATAAAAATACGAAACAGTTTTTATAGCACAATTCACTACGACTAAGCGTTCAAGGACTTCGGTGAATTAAAATCCATTTACGTTCAGCTGTTTATATTGTTTGTGTCTTGCTTAAATCTGATCTGTTGACGTAATTTTTATTGACATAATAAACATTATTATACCAATTGGCAGTTACTGGCGTGTTTTGAAAACGAATTAAACATCTTGTACCTGTGACATATTACAGGATAATTATTATTCTGTTTCCTCGAGAACCACAAAAATTGCACTAAAATATATACATTTTTCTTAAATATTCTTGTAAAACTATGAATCTACTATCTAATAAAACTGTGATGGCTCCTCTTACTGGCCCTGGCGCCTTTGAAATTTGCTGAAAGCTAATTACTCTTTGAGTTGTTTCAAACAAATGGAGATAATATGTATGAAGTATTCACACTGATGCCCGTGAGCGTTTACGTCACCTCGTGAATCACATAAACTCTCTTCGTGTTTGTATGCCAAAAGTGTTTTCATTCCGTTTATCATTGTACCCATTCTGTTGCATTATTTTATTTGTGTGGTGAACTTTGTCAATAAGAAACTTGCCGTGATCATTATGTTAATTGAAATATAAAACATAATCCGGAATCCAAGTTCGCGACCGTTTTATCTAAATGTATCCTTGAGGAAATTTTATGCCTGTTATCCATATCAATACTGGATGCTGTAAAATGTTTCAAACGCATGAAACTTCGTAAATAATATTAATAAAACCGTGATTTAGCATTGGCTCAGAAATGCCGACGATATATAGGAGTTTTTGTTTGTTTTCTTTGTCACGTCAGTACTCAGTAGAGTTAAAAAAACATGGTGGGACATGGCGAGAAAATTACCTGATTTATCAACGATTGTTTTCTATTGAAGAAAAATAATGCTATTCTCACAGTTAATAAATCATTACACGAATGTATAAGATAATAACTCTATCATTAAATCTTTAACCATGTGTAGAACTTGTAAATAAGTTTTGATAATTCAAACAGACGTTTGTTCAGGCCAGTGTAAATCACGCCTAGCTGAACGCTCATTTAACGAGGCACGTATAGCGAAATGATCTGTCCACGTGACGCAATTACCCGCCATGAAGGCATGGCCAGTGGACTGCGTATTCCAGCGGAGAATTTTGCGGGTGACCTCATTTTGGTACAGTCGCGACCATTTTGCCAACGTTAACATATTCAATGTCTTTCCGTCCTTGCCTCTACGGCGGCTTACAATTTGTACAGTTTATGTGCATTGTTAATGTCCCGATAGATGTTATAAAGTCCGTAGATATTATATATAAATATTGTTTTAGGTTTAGTATTCGCCTGAATGCAAGAGAATAGTATCTCACTGTTAATTACATAATGCGGTTATAATCATAGATGAAGTGTTGTATGGCTTAGTGATTAGTTAAATCTATTAACTGTATTAAATGTTTGTTTACTCGTAGTTTATACTCTGCGTCGTCTGTTGTTCACTGGCTGCTATCTACAACATGGTTGTGCAATGAAATAATTATATACTTATTTACATTGTAAACGGACGCTTTTCCAAAGTTGATCTTTGTTTGTATTACAATTATAAAGTTTTTTGTTCTATTAAGTCTTTGTTGGATAGATAATAATGACTGGCGTGGTGAGCGCAAGTGCTTTGTTTTTACTGAATCTTGCGCTAACACTGAGAACCTATGTTTTCTCATTTAATCTATCAATACGTCCAGTCACGCGAAGGTCGTGAATCATTTTGTGACAACAACCAACTGTCAGCGAGAGCATTAAGTAAAGCTGTGTCAGAAAACATATCTTCGCACATAATATTAACAAGTCTCGCCGTATTATAACTATGTTTTGCTTGTTTTCTATGCACTCTTAAAATATAATACATTTAACATCTCCCTGTAATCATAACATCAGTAGATCTTGTGAAAAAAATACAATTGCATGATTATCTCCTGTTTACAACCGACTTAAAAACTAGAGGAGGTTCACTTTTTTGCGAGCTTGTATTTCTTTTTTTATGTTACTGGAGAACTCCGTCATTTATGTACTGATTTTGATCATATTTTTGGATACAGAACTATCCAGAAGGTCGCAGAAGCCTACAAAGTTTCCTGTGTAGAAACTTTAAGGTTGAATTTATTTATAGAATTATTTAATTAGTCACTTTGCCGCCACTATGGCCGGCGTCCGGCGCTGACTCAATGAAATTGTTTTATATATTTTTTTTTAAGTTATAGAAAACGTGAATCGGTCATTTCTTTGAAAGCGATTTTATTTTTTAATGGTTTTTTACCATATATAAATCATTTCGTAAAAAGTTTCATCCATCAAAATTCTTCTTTACGGCGGGATTGTCAAATTTAATGGGTACGTGTTGAAAAGGCTGCGTATATTAGGGAAAATCAAAATTCTTCTTTACGGCGGGATTGTCAAATTTAATGGGTATGTGTTGAAAAGGCTGCGTATATTAGGGAAAGCATGGTAGTGGGCACAAGGGATTGGGAAGATGACTAGAAGGTTAAAGTGGTATGGAGACTTTATGAGAAAGGATGAAAGTAATGTAACTAGAAGAGGTATGAATATGGTTGGAGGCTGTAAGACTAGAGGGAAATCGAGAAAGTTTTGGATAGACTGTGTGACAATGTTCTGAGAAAGAGTTGAGTATAGAGAAAGTGAAGGGGAAGAACATGTTGTGCCGACCGAAGCTTGCATGGGATAAGGGCAGAAGAAAAAAGAAGCATATGCATTTGAGATGCGTTACGTGGTTAGTCTATATGCGTTACGTTTATAGACACAACTACTCTGTAACAAAAGGAGATTAGACCGTCGCCTATATTTGCAGCAACGCCATCAAAACGACTCGCAAGTCAACCACCGCAGGGCCAAAACCCTCCGCAATGGCAAGCTGGTGGAGGAGAAATGGGCGTCCGTCCAAGTGGGTGACGTCATTCGGCTCGAGAACGACCAGTTCGTCGCCGCGGACATCCTGCTGCTCAGCAGCTCGGAGCCCAACGGGCTCTGTTACATCGAGACCGCCGAGTTGGACGGGTGAGCAGTTGTTCTTCTTTTCTTTTATTTTAATAAAAAAGTGACAATCGAGCTGACGGTTCCGATGTTAAATGAAGTTTTGCGGTTGCAATGCCAACGTTTAACAGAATGAGGTTATTTTATCTTCTTTATATATATATATAATTCTTCTGCACGTGTGTATGTCACTGAACTTCTAAACGGCTGGACCGATTTTAATGAATTTTTTTGTGTATCTTCAGGTTGCTTCGAGAATGGTTTAGATTCACAGTTCAGTCCACAACAAATTTTTTTTTATTTCTAAGTTGTCGAATTTGAGACGTTTGTACAGGATAAAGTCTGTCGGGTCCGCTAGTAGTAGTATAAATACTTAAAATATTATATTATATAAAATACTATAAAAAAATACATCGGTCGTCCTCCGTGCTGAGGCCGAGTTGCTTACCCGGACGAGCTGGAGTGTACACGCAACAGCGGAAACTGCTGCGTGGCTCTATAGAAAATCGCTCTAGATTCGCTTTTCTAATGAATTGTACTCAACTATGACGATGTTGAGCTGTGTGTTTACTTTTAAAAATTGCCAATGTCGGTATGTTGCGAAATCAACCTCCACACACAACAGATATTCCCATGATCTATAAATAATAGTTTAATTCCCGGGCAGTTACTTTGTGTCGATGATTTTCATTTAAGCGACAAAGAAATTATTTCGTAGTGGTTAAAAAAATGTAAACAAAAACGGAAGATTGCATAAATTGGTTTTCACTACATAGTATAAAACAAATTCGTCCCGCTGTCTGTCGGTCGCTATGTATGCTTAGATCTTTAAAACTACGCAACGGATCTTGATGCAGTTTATTTTACTAGATAGAGTGATTCAAGAGGAAGGGTTATATGTATAATACTTTGCACCCGCGCGAAGCTGGGACGGGTCACTAGTCCTTACTTATATTCTTACTTAATATTTTAAATGCGAAAGTTTGTATGTATGGATGGATGTTTGTAACTCTTTCACGCAAATACTACCACATGGATTTTAATGAAACTTTACAATAATATAGCTTATACATCAGAATAAAATATAGGCTATAATTTATATATCTACATATATACATACTTTATGTATATCTCTCGTTCGGTCTGAATGTTACTTACGCCTTCGGCCAATTCTACGCAGATGTAGTCGCGGGCAGCAGCTAGTAAATTATAAATCTTATTGGACAGGGAGACGAATCTAAAGTGTCGCCAGTGCCTTTTGGAGACGGCGGCGATGGGCCAGGACGACGCGCAACTGGGCGCCTTCGACGGCGAGATCGTTTGTGAGACGCCCAACAATCTACTAAATAAGTTTGATGGTGAGATGATTTTTTTTTTCAATGTGAATAATATTTATTTTGTCTAATATTTACAAGATTAAATCTATCTAAAATTACATGTTATCTAATTAACCTAATCCACGCGTCATGGTGCCAAGAACGCTAGCTGCATTTCCTCGCTGAATAGTTATGTTTAACTTTTGAGCGAGAAAAGAACCAGCTCTCTTGTCACCTGCCGCGGCGTTAAGCCTTTAACTTAAAAAAAAATGATGTTCGGAAACCCCACGGACAAAGCTAAGCTATATTTGAATATACGACTCCCAATTTGGGATATAACTGCACTCTCACAAAAGACTGAACTATTTATGTAACAAATTTACTACCCTTGATGTGACTCGCCCCAGGCGATGACCGTTTGCGAGGCGACAGCTTAAACCATAACTCAGTTCGTGCGGTCAAAATATATTTATCTTACTATTTATACAAATATCATATTGATACAAACCACAAATTTCAATAAAGAACAAAAACATATTTCAATACATTCAATACATACATAGTACTCTATACTTTAATGTTTTGTATCCAGCACTTTTTGCACAGTTGTTCTCTTTTTCGATATCGCATGAGCATTTGACAATATGTAGTACAGTGGCTTGCTTTACAAGAAGTTTTCACACAATGCGCCACACAGGCTCGTTCACACCATTCAAAACCTTTAGACAAATAGTTCTTTTCGATTGTATGCTCCCTACGATACTTGATAATTTTAAAGATCTCGTATGACGGTTCTTTACAAGGCGTAACTTTAGATTTTTCAGCGGTACGGATACGTGCTTTGTTTCTTGTAAAGTTCGTCACTTCACAAGAATTGTGCCCCAATGTTATCTGTACACATTTAATTTCTGTATTGATTTTAAATAGTGTATAAAAGTGCCAGTGTCCTAGCTTTTGATCAGTGTAGAGCGAGATTATTTTTTCAGTGTCCTTTTGTCGGTGCTTTCACTTTGCATAAATTGTACGTTGAGTTTACGTTTAATCACTACATAGTATAAAACAAAGTCGTCCCGCTGTTTGTCAGTCTCTATATATGCTTAGATCTTTAAAACAACGTATGTATTGTGACGAAACGTTAGCATCCGTGGTACACAAAGTGTTACGAAAACTCGCGCGCTCGCGTTCGCAGCATAATGTGTCGCAACATCAGCTATCACCGATCGAAATCTGTAATTATATCGGCAACCAGGTCCTGTCCCAGATACGCGTAATGAATTCGTTCGACGGCGACACGGCGACAATACACGTTGTTCGTTACGATCCATACTAATTTTATAGAGTACAGTCTATACCGTAAGGGCACACGGGGCCCGTGCCCAGGGCCCTATCGTCAGAGGGGCCCCGGAAGGCCGACATTGCCGAATTTGACACAAAAGGTGACATAGAGACACGAATATTCAAACAATTTTATATAATCTGTTTCCTGCGTGAGAAAAAAAATTACGTGCGGTTTTAACACGCTTAAACCATGCCCATAGATCCGGGGTCTCCTATGAAATATACGAGTACTCTTCAGCACTGTGCATAAGTTTTTCAGGAGTAGAGATATATACGTCGAGAGCTACGGTGTTCCGCTCTTTTTAGTTGTGGTAGAAGTTGTGGTAGTACCGCGCAGCACGTTCCGCTGTTGCACGAATGGGCAGACTAATCTGGGGACCACCACTGCCAGGCTGCTTTTTAATGGTTGGTAACGTATCTGCAATACCTGAGGGAACTGAGTTTGATGACTCCAGCGCAGTTGCCAAAGTATTGCCTTCGGCCGTCTGTTTTGGGGCCGCCCGATTACCGCCCGAGCTATTATAACATTTTTTTTGCGGCGAAATTTACTGAAAATCTCTGGAGCCGTTTCCGAGATTCCGATTATATAGATACATATATATATTCTATATATACATATACATATAAGATAAATTTCACGTGGACAAACACCCAGATGCGAAACAACTATCTTGTATTAACTGATGTTTTTGCTTTCAGTCCCGAGACTATTAAAGCTTCATCGGACGCAACAACTATCTGTGGGTCACACAAATAGTTGTCCCGTGTGGGGATCTAACCCACGACCCCCGACGCCGAAGCGAATACTTTGGAAACTGCGCCACGGGGTCGTTAAAAATGAAAACCGCGGTGGTATGTGAGAAGATAGCAAGTGGGTGGTTCACCTGATGTATACTTATAGCCGCCGCTCATGGCCATCTACAACACTCGAGTGGTTCTAGATGTATTGCCTACCTTTCATACTATTAACTCAGATATACTCCATGCACCGAGTAAAACGCGAAATAACGAAAAGAAAGAAATGTAAAAAAATGATAACTTGATAATGAGCTTCCATCTTTGTACTTCGCATATTTGGAGGTTCTAATATTGGCGCAGGCACTCTGAGCTGGCGCGAGCAGCACTTCTCCCTGGACAACGACAAGATCCTCTTGCGCGGCTGCGTGCTGAGGAACACGTCGTGGTGCTACGGCGTGGTGGTGTTCGCCGGGAAGGACACCAAGCTCATGCAGAACTCCGGCAAGACCAAGTTCAAGCGCACCAGCATCGACAGGCTGCTTAATTTCCTCATAATAGGGGTGAGTGGTACGGATAATGGTTGGGACGATGTTTCTGTATGTTATGCGATGTACTCTGTTTTTTTTTTTCTGTTATATGTTAATGATGATTTTCACTTGTTATAACATTTTTAACGACCGACTTCAAAAGGAGGAGGAGGATATTTGTTTTTCGATGTATGTACACCGATTTCGCTGAGATTTTTGATCCGATTTACGTGATCCTTTTTTAGTTTCACGCAGAGAATAGTTGCCATTTGGTCCTATAAATATATAAGCGGTTTGTCCCAGTAGTTTTTTATCTTACAATTTCGTAAAATTTAAACAACTGAATGTTTTATACCTGTTTATTAGATCATTTACCGAAGACGCTACGCTAAGACTATAACGCTATGCTTAAGATATAAGAGAGCGTTTTCCAGTACGTGGAAGATAAATGTAGCGTCACACAGTTGCGGATTAGAGCTTTAATACAAGATAATAAAACATAAATATATGACGATTAACAGACTTGGTCCCTTGCCAAAATATTAAAAGCTATTTAGCGAGTGTCTATTAATCTCTGATAGAGAAGTCAAAGCCAGTCCGTAATTAAAGGAACATCAACTCTCTTGAAGCAATTTGTTTCTTCAAAATATCAGTCACAGCCAAAACTGAAATGCACCTGAAACATTTAAATTTGATATTCTGGCCGCGATTCCGGAAGACGTGGGTTCGATTCATGCAGCAGCGAAAAACTTCGTCCATTTTTTTTAATAAAAATTTGAATTTTTCTTAAAAATTAAGATTAGCACAAAATTTTCCTAATTTCAAATGGAAGTGCATTTGAAATTAGAAAAATGTTGTTAAAGTTGACTGCGATAAAAGATCATTAAAATTCAACTAAACGTTCCGTAATATCGGGACGCTCGCTTTTAATTAAATACACTCGAGCAACTTAAGTTCATTCTCAGATACCGGCACCGATAAAATTGTTAATTTTAAGCGCTGACTTATCACGTGCTCAGCAGTTAGTGAACATCGTGAACCCTGCATACTTAAGAAAGAATAAAAAAAAAAAATATGGCGAAGTTATGCGGAGTCCGCCAATCGGCCGTGGGGTCGTGTGGTGAACTTTGTCCTATGTACAGGATGCCTTTGCCCAGCAGTGGGACATACATAGGCTGCTCGTTACTATTTGTCATACATTTTTCCCCTTCCCGCGCGCAGATAGTGTTCTTCCTGCTGTCGATGTGCGTCTTCTGCACGGTGGCGTGCGGCGTCTGGGAGTGGCTGGTGGGGCGCTACTTCCAGGTGTACCTGCCCTGGGACACGCTGGTGCCCGCCGAGCCCGCCTCTGGCGCTGTGGTCATCGCCTTCCTCGTGTTCTTCTCCTACGCGATCGTCATGAACACCGTCGTGCCGATATCGCTCTACGTCTCCGTCGAGGTGAGCGCCAATGGTACATAGTACCCCGCTGGAAAACTACGCAGACCTCCAATGAATCAAACCTTAAATACAGAGTACTTTGCTGCCTTCGGTTGACTTTTTTTTTGTTTTTGCTCAACGTTATCTAGTCCCGAAGCAAAGCTTTTACTATGGACACTGGGTAACTGATAAACATACTTAAACGTTCTTATCTTAGGTAACTAAATACCTATTATAGTTATACTAGCGGACCGGACAGACGTTTTCCTGTACACACGACTTAAATTCGACAACTTAAAACAAATGTAGTAGAAATTTGAATGTAATATTCTCGAATCCTGACGTGACCTGAAGACACAATAAATTTCATTAAAATCGGCCCAGCCATTTAGGAGCAGTTCAGTGACGTACACACGAACAAAGAATTATGTATATAAAGATAAACACCCAGACACTGAACCAAAAACACTACATATGTTCATCACACAAGGATTTGGAAGGCTTTCACTCGACTCTTTAGCGATGTAACGTTGAATTGGTGGTATTTTGAGCATTTAAACATATCGGCGAAAGAACTTACCAGATATTTATAAATTTTTTCAAAGATTTTGGAATAGTTTCCTTCAAGGCGTGTACATAACAAAAAAGTTGCAAAGTTTTTCCAACTATGACCTTTTTATTACAAAGGGCAATGTCATATTCATTTAAACCACATTAGGGTGGGGTACTGATGTTGACTATTTTTGACCTGTAAAATTTAATTCACGTTAGCATGGTTTTAATGATGCTTAAACGGCTCTAGGGGTGAACTCTCACATACGATCGAATTTAATCCTCCCTCAACGTTATGCATATGTATTTAGTTCATGCGTATTTGAGTCTTTGAATCTCGTTATCGCCTCCGTATAATGTAAAATCTACACGAAAAGCACGTCACGCCTCGCATAATTTTCGACGCCCCTCTGAAAATGCGCGCAAAGAGTAGAGTCGTATTGTATGTACATTATGGTGCTAAAAGGTGCCCAAATCTAATACAAATATTATAAATGCGAAAGTAACTCTGTCTATCTGTCTCGCTTTCACTCCAAAACTACTGAACCGATTTAAATAAAATTTGGTACACACAATAGTCTAGAGCAGTGATTCTCAACCACTGTGCCGCGGCACTTTTGTGTGCCGCCAAATTTTGCAAATATATAATAATGTTAATATTATTAAATTATATCATTTAAAAAGAAAAATATTTTTGGCATTAGCCAACATTAAAAAAAGATCAAGGTTGTTAAATGTAGAAGACGATATGAGAGTGTAGCATTGTCATTTTTACGACCAAATATAAATGAAATTATCAAAAAACATCAAGCTCAAGTTTCGCATTAAAAATATTTTTATTATGTAATTGTAATTAATCCCTTAATAAACGTTTAGTTATTATTGTAGTATGTATTAGTTTATTTCGTATATCTAAAATTTTTGTCATAAACTATTTATGCAGTGTGTTGTAGTAAGTAAATAATTTATATCTTTTTCTTTGTGTGCCGCAAAATTTTGAAATCGTTTAATATGTGCCGCAACAAAAAAAAGGTTGAGAATCACTGGTCTAGAGCCTGAGAAAGAACATAGGCTATTTTTAATAGGACAAAAGTGTTGAAAGATATTTATTTAAGCTTCAACTCGAGCGAAGCCGTGGGCGAAAAGCTAGTAATCTATATATAATTTAGGGCGTTTCTTAAAAAGTTTCACTTGGTTAAAGTAGATACTTTTATGTAATTTAGGTACATAGAGGAATAAAAATATAACACTAAATAATTTCTCTACGATACCATAGTTGTCCTTAGCCGGTGTTAATGTAGTAAAAGTATTTCGTGTATCCACATTAATGCCTATGTGGTTTTGCAAACCTCATTCATGCGTTAAACCTTGTTCAAAAAACCGGACAGGGCTTAATTCGGTGCTCGCCGAATTAGATTTCTTTTACCAGATGATGTAATGCTATATTTACTATAGGCTTTTACGATGCGGGCCGTGTGTTAGATTCCCACAGCGGATAATTATTATATTAGTCACAAAGTATATTAAAATATTGGTCACAAAAATTTTCCAGATCATAGTTTAATCCTAAGAAGAGTTGATATCAGACGGTGATCGTAAAATATCCTAGCCAATAGCAATTAGAAGAATATGCGGCCAGCATGAGAAACAAGAAGATATTTAACAAATTCTTCAAATATGTCTTACAATCTCGGTCCTAATTTCCACGATGAAAGTGTAGGTACGTTTCAGCTGCTACTTTACGCACTGCGGTTGAGGGAGCTGTTTCGCGCCATTTACAGACGTCCGCGCGGGAAACGTAATTGAGTTATTGGCAAGCCGGTGCGATCTCGTATGTAGCAGTCGCGATGTTATCGAGTTAGACTTGGCCGCTCGGCCGCTAATCCTATCGGATTGCATTCCGATGCGTTAGCCCGTAGTAAGATTAGGATAATGAGGTAATACTGCGGGGATAGCGTAGGACCTTGGGAATTAATTTATGGCGTCCATCATACCCATAGAATAGGAAACATGTTTGCAACATTTGGTACTTTACTATATCACTATTCATACACAAAAAAATAACTACATAGTTATAATGCGATGACTTTGTCGTACATTTGCCAAGGTATTGGCTTCGACGCCACGGGTCGTGGGTTCGATTCCCTCACGTGATAACTATTTATGTGAATCTAAGACAGTCGTTTCAGATCTGGGTGTTTGTCCACGTGAAATTTATGCATGTTAAAACTAATCTGTATGTTAAATGTCTTTACCACACAGGATGCAATTCGAAAAATGTGTTCGAAGGGAAGACTACAAATAGATATTTCCAGGTCAGCAATGGTCTTTGGGACTACCCAACTCCTTCCACATAAAATACAAAAGTTATAATTCAATACAAAGGTTACGTTACTCGAAGACGGAAGTATCAAGACTCAGAACAACTGTTTATTTTAACGACTTTCTTCCGTACGCAGGTCGAATTTACAACACGCCGTGCAATTAACAGTTGGCTCGGTGACCATTTAAAAATTACAACATCCTTACACTGATTAGGATTTTTATTCTAGTATAGCGTTCCGTGTGGTTCCTTTGAAATTTAAACGATCTCCGTCACAGGTCATCAGGTTCGCGCAGAGTTTCCTCATAAACTGGGACGAGAAAATGTACTACGAGAAGACCGGCACGGCGGCCAAAGCAAGGACCACGACCCTAAACGAGGAGCTCGGTATGTATTGTCCTCAATAAGTTACACAATGAAAGATGAACCCACGTCGTACATACATTCGGCAAAACAATTATGCGTTACGTAGCAACGAGTTTTTTATCGCTGTTTCAATGAAATGCGGTCACAGCGAAGGCACGTGCCGAAATATTACAGGCCCGAACAATGAAACTGTTCACACTAGTGAACTAAAAGGAACATGAACAGCTTACTTATTATAATATATATTTAATATATAAATATATATTAATGTATAGTTCAAATGTAAGAAAACTGTTCTAGTCTGATCAAGTTGGCTATAAAGCCGCCATATTGTACATTGCATCAATTTGTTGTTCTATTGTCACTTTTATATATAATTTTATTTGTGGTGGATAAGTTCATTCAATTTTTTTATGCAGATGGTTAAATCCAGAACCTTTATTTCTCGTAAATAATTTTCCTCGTAATTAAGTCTATAACATTCGACACTTCGTTGCGGCGTCTACTAACAGTCCTCTTATAAAATTTTCACACGGTTTAATGAAGGATAAATCGCGATTACAGTCGTTCTTATTTTTTTTATTCCCTACTAAATGGCCCGCTGTATTGTTGCTGATAATGCGACGCCATTTTGTATATAATTAGATTATTTGATATAATTACATTTTTGATTTTGTATATATTAGGCTAGGCGCCCCGTGCGCCAGGCCACCTCAAGCCCGTCGGAACTGTAAAGGCCCCTAAGGCCAACAGTGGCTCATCCAGCGCAAAAAAAAAAAAACAAATAATCCCTGCGGTCTATGCGCTAAGCGAATTAGCCTGAAAGAATATCCATCCTTTTCCATCGACGATTTAATATAAGTTGTATTGTAATTCGAAGCAAGTAGGTGTTCTTTCGATCTTTTAAAATTTCAGGAATTTCGTTTTTTTATTTTTTCAAATGTGAATTTTTGTAGATGAATGGACAAAAATTTCTGGCTGCGCGATTCGAACATGGATGTAATAAGCCCCAAAACACCTTACCATCTAGTTAAGCTGGGCGACCGATGACGTCACGGCGCGTGAATTTATCTACAAGAATTGACATTTTAAGTTTAATTTCAGTGACTACCACTAAAAAATATATTTATGGTATAACCCTAGCGGAAATGTGCCTCTTCAAAAAAAAAAAGAGAGACCTTTTTATTTATGACTGTGGCAATCGAATTGGAATCGAATAGCTCATGGATTATAGGTGATTACTGTCCCATATGAACATTCACAACACCTTTAGTATTGTCCTCATTCTATGTCGTTATTGTGCTTCCCATCTTTTAAAGCACCACTGTTCTTTTTTTTCTTGCCCACCAGAATCGAAATGCAAACGCGTGAATACTTGCACTTACGTAGTTCTTTCGTTAGAGCGTTCTATTACCCAGGTCGAGGAGAGTCAGAAGAGCTCGACCAGAATTTATTCTTTATTTGCATTCCACAATGTAGCTTGGTTGGTAAAAACATAAAATTGAGAATTATCATGGACCTACCATGCTAGGGCGGGCATATGTAATAGTAATAATTGTTAAGACTTAAATACAATTAGCATTAAATTAATAAAAATTAAAATACAAATAAATTTTCAATTTATATTATTTTCAAAACATGTGCGAGTTTCACTAATTACAAACTGAGTTGTTACGTTTACCGTTTATGTTACCAGCCGGTGATTCTACGAGGCGTGATTACAGGTCAGATCCAGTACATATTCTCGGACAAGACGGGCACCTTGACGCAGAACATTATGACCTTCAACAAGTGCTCGATCGCGGGCGTCTGCTACGGCGACGTGGTCGACGAGAGCACCGGCGAGGCCGTCGAGCTCACAGAGGTGACCATTGCCACTTGAACGTCATCAGCGGCTCGCGGCGGCAGATTACATATTCGGCCCACGTCCCAATACATTTGGTGCACCCTCACCGCATAGAAATCGCATGTAGGCCTGTGTTCCACTTGACAGTGCATTGACCTTTTTTTTTTTCTTTTCTTGATTCCCTCCAGTTAATCATGTTTGAAAACGTTACCGTCAGCACGGAGCAGATTCTGCATGATCTACATACCCAGTTTTTATATTCGATTTTTGAAATACTGGCCGTTTTTTACATTGTGGTTTGTTTTTGTATTGTTTTTTTTTTTTTTTTTTTTTTTTTCAATTTTTTCATTGTTTTCGTTTGTCCTCGCTTTGGGGTTGACAGGTTTGAACGCCTGATGTGTTTCATTTTATTATTATTTGTTTTGTTTTCGTGTATACCATTCAGTGAAGTAACTGCCTTATGTTATATGTGCATGGGTAATATAATAACGTTTTTATTATCATGCACCAGCATCGAGTTAGTGTAGGAATCGAAAATTGAAAATGTCTTGTTTTTGCTTGCCCCTTTTGAAGTTCGCGTACGGTAATACCATTTTGCATTGCGTAAATTTTAATATGTCACACGGCAGGCCACTCGTCCGTAGATACATCTAGACAGTTTTACCTCGTTTGCATGTACATATATTGTGCAACAGAGCCAATGTAGATTGCAAAACACCAATTTGATTTAAACGTTTAAAGCTTTTCAACACAACTCTGTACGTTCACCACACGCATTCCTGTGTCACAAATATGCAAGGTAATTTATGTTTTTCACACGAATTTATATACATACTTTACTATAGTGATTTCGATATTGACTCCAATACACATTGGGTACACTAAAAACAAGGGGCGACGACAGTTGATTTGCGCACAAGCCACAATTTTATACAGTGATTTACACAATTTATGCCAGTGTCATTGTTTCATTTTGCGTGTAGACATAATGATACTTATGAAATAAATCGAAACACATACATTCTAGGACCTACTTTAGATAAGAACAGACTTTTCTTTGATTAAACATGTTTACGGTTATAGATGTATTTATTCCACGTGGTGAAGTCAATGCGTATTCAGATATTTCTTAATGTTTTAATAAGTGAGAATGAATACCAAACGAACGAACGCTTTAACCAAAATATAAATATAGGAAAAGTAAAATCAGTAGTACAAGGAGGCTTTTTAAGTGTATCCATTTTTTTTTAATTAAATTCTAGACATAAATAATATTATATAAAAAATTATAAATATTTAAAATCACTCGTAATTAATTAGATACATTCATTTGAACTTATCCCAAAAAGTGCGTGATTTATGGGAAACTCATTTACGATCATTCATAACTAAAACACGCACACAAGTACGTTTCAAAAGTATACGACGCATTTATGAATGACTACCGCATTGTCAACAAGTTCTGTTTTCTAAGGAATGGAATGGCAATTTTTTGAAAAAAAAAAAAAGGTTGTTTTTATGTCAATAAACGAGTATACTACCGTACCTCCTGAGTGAATTTGGGCACCTTTAGGAAAGCCACCCTGTATAAGGAACCTAAAGGATAACTCCATTTAGAGAAATCCACAGATTTTTAGAACTCGATGATGGAAATTGAATATACAGATAGCGCAAGACTGAAATGCACCTGAGTGAAATTGTATTCGAGAGCATTTCCAGTCGATTGCAACTATCTGCAAAGTCTTCAGTCTGTGTATGTTCACAAGAACGTTGTTCGCAAATATATACCAACGTGCAGAGCGAGCGAGACAGGAACTGGATCCGGATCGTCGGCGTTAACGAGAGGGCAATACTGTCGCCATGCGACCCGCGGTTTTTCCGATACCGGTAAAACGCGCGTCAAATCTAACGAACTGAGGTGCACTTAAGTTTTGCGCCTCGATGAAGGTCCATCGTGTCGAGCGGTAAACACGCCGCCAGAGACAATGCTCGGGTCGTGGGGTTCGATTCCCCGACGCCCGCACCTTCGACTGTCAGGGCAGTGCAGTCACTGAGCGCGCGTGAGCGGTGGACGCGGTGGGGGCTCTAGTGCGGGCGTCGGGCGCGGTGGCAGGGGCGCTGTGTGATGTGTGTGTGGTGCAGCGGGCGGCGAGGGGAGCGCGGGGTGCGAGGGGTGGTCGGGAGGCGCGCGAGGTGCCGCGCGCTCGCCTGCTGGAGCTGGAGCACGAGCAGGGGCGCAGCACTCCGGGCGCGCGACGGCCCGCGCCCCCGGCCCGCGACACGGCACACGTACGCACCCCTGCTGTGAGCGGACGCGGCCGCGCGCTGGCAACGCCTTCCGATTATGCGACACGCCCGTCGGCCGAGACACGCGTCCGTTTCGAAAATAGAACTGTTTTTTTTATTTTCATTTATTCTATATTGCAGTGTAATTCAAGTTTCATTCCGCGTAAAGTAATGTTTGATTTGACGTACATCGAGGTAGTCGAATCGAAATGTTTGTGTTACGATAGTTTACGTGAAAATGTTGGGATTGAACAGTGTTCTGCGCAGATTATTTTTTTTTATTATTTACATGTTAATGTTTATGTAATAAAATATGTAGTACGTTATCGCATAATATGAAGGCGTTGCCTTAAGCGATGCGTCATAACAGGTAGTATGTGGCCGTTTGCAATGTGAGATGTAGTAAAGAGAGTTGGGCTAGTGGATTGAGGAGACACGGCTGGGTCTTGCTGCTAATCTAATCTTCGAGCTCGAAACGAATCTTTCTTCTCTTGATCTTGTCCCCCTTCATCACGTAACACTTTCCTTAATTACGCACAGACTTACCAACTTATGATTTCGATGTTGTTCCGCTTCACTCTATTCGTAATTTGATAAGAAGCAATCCAGCTGTTACGACATACATAACCTTACAATAAATTGAATAAAACAACATTTAAGACAATAAATTATACAGAGACAATATTAATAGGCGCTCTCTATGTATTGAGATTTCGACCGATGAACTTATTTAAATTGCATGTTCACTTGCTTAATATGTATGAGGTTATTTAGCTCAAGGGTTAAGTGAATTTTATCCAGTGCCCATTAATCTCTACACAACTGTTTCTATACCTATCGTATGCGGTACCCATGCCCTCTTACTAAACAAATCTGAGGAATGTCTGCATTGTAAAATAACGCTTATGTGCATGGTATAAAGCATTTTTTTTGGGTTTCCCGTTGCTTCGTATATTAGCGTTGCATTTGGTGTTTGCTTCCTATTTGATAGCGGACAGAGAATTTTGATCATATGAAACGGCGTTTTTTCGTTATTTTTAACATAGAAAAATCGTACGTGTGTGTTGTTCAGTGCTTGATCAAAATTCTCGTTCTTGCTTTATTGTTGTTATGTACATCCTTTGAACGCTTTCGAATTCATCTCGAATTACTTAATTTTTCTTTGTGTAAATATGTAGTTTGCATTCGTTGTATAGTAAATTCGGTGTCGTCCCTTACCACACAATACTTATTTTTCCCTACTCTATTAACGCTCCAAATGATGTTAATTCAAACGTTGTCTGGAATAGCTATTGGCGTCACGACATTTTATTCAACCTATGTATATGACTATTATTTCTTTATAACTATCATTACTTATGCATTATACCTTTTTACCCCATAATTCTACCTTTTCCACGAAAGCGGTGACGTCATAGTAAAAACAAAGTAAAAAACAGTCAGCTTTCCTAACCACGGAAGTACCAACGAATCGGTGATGCCAATGGCGTTTCAAGGCACCGTTTGCAGTGCGTAATCGGTATCGATTCGCATTTCGAACGAATCCGCGGTAATCGGTCATAACCGATGTGTGGTGCGTTTGATGCGGTCGGTTTTCCCGCCATAACGCGCGTGACGTCACGTGGTGCAGAACACGGAGCCGCTGGACTTCTCGTTCAATCCGGAGTACGAGCCCGAGTTCAAGTTCTTCGACTCTACGCTGCTGGAGGCGGTGCGGCGCGGCGACCAGCACGTGCACGACTTCTTCCGCCTCCTCGCCCTCTGTCACACCGTGATGCCGGAGCAGAAGAACGGCCGGCTCGAGTACCAGGTGCGTATCGCAACCGCGGCGGCCCGTTCGGTGTAAACGCTCCCGAACGGCTTCCGCCATTATGATGACGGTATGACGGAGAAAATAAAGGCGGGAAATTTACGGGGCACTAACTAACAAATTTTTTGCAGAGCCGCGACAGCTCAGAGTCCGGGCGCTCGGTTTTAATATAATATGTCTAGCTACCTTAACGTAAAATTTTTGATTATTTATATACACAGAGAATTTTTTGGTTCTACGTCATACACGTGTTTATAGTTATGGCTACAAATCCAATTACCTTGAAATAGTATCCGAGCATTTGTTGGCTCATATTGATAAAACATCCTTGCGGTGGTGATATGGAATTGGATAAGCTTTTAACAGATGTGCAAATGTAAGGTTAAAAAAAATGTATGACCTTGACGTCCAAAATTTTATTGTAAGAATGTTTCGGTTTTGCTTATTTACAACCGACTTAAAAAATGAAGTTTTCAATTCGATTGTATTTTGTTAATGATTAAATTTTTATTATTATAATTATGACCTGAGAAATACATTTATGATTGTGTTCGTTATAGGACCATTGCATTAGGAAACCTTGAACTCGGGAGCTAAATCAGGAAACTCCAAAAAAATAAATGTGTAGTGAAAATTTGAAGTAACCGACTTCAAATTTTCATATTTCTGTTATTTTTTTTTTGTTGTTAAAAGATTTTTTTATACAGGGTGGCTTTTCTAAGTGTTTCCATTTTTTTATTAAATTCTAGACATAAATAATGTTATATAAAAAATGATAAATATTTAAAAGCACTCGTAAGTAATTACATTCATTTGAACTTATCTCAAAAAGTGCGTGATTTATACGCAACTCATTTATTTTACGTGCGATCATTCATAACTAATACGCACACAAGTTCGTGCACGGTAAAATTTAGATATTTATGAATGACTACCGCATTGTCAACACGTTCTGTTTTTAGGGAATAGAATGGCATTTTTTTTTTATTCCAATAAACGAATATACTACCGAGTCTGAACCTCCTGTGTAAATTTGGGCACTTCTCAAAAAATCTCCCTGTATAATCTCCAGGCCCAGTCGCCGGACGAGGCGGCGCTGGTGTCGGCCGCGAGGAACTTCGGCTTTGTGTTCAGAGAACGATCGCCTAATAGTATTACGATAGAAGTAATGGGTAAAACAGAGGTAATTCATTGTTTTCTATATTATTTAATGTTTTATTCATTTATTTTTATTCAAATCCTCCTACCGACCAGTAGTTCGGAAATGATGACATTTAGTATTTTGTCTTGAATGCTATAACCGACTTTTGAATTACATAAGTAGAGTTTTTTTTGGAAGTTATGCTCCTTTTGGCGCGATTGAAAGAAAATATTAGAATACAAATTTTACAAAGCGCCAACGCCGACAACCAAAAAGTGACATGACGAAGTTGGTTGCAAAGAGTGCTGGAACACGGGATAAAATTTTAAGATAAAATTCGTTTGGACCCTAAAGAAGTATAACTTCTTGTGTGCATACATAAAAGTACACACACACTTTTTTTACTTATGTAATAATGATGCATTTAAATATTGTTACTTAATTAATACTTCTTTGTTGTTCCAGGTGTATGAGCTGTTGTGTATATTAGATTTTAATAATGTTAGGAAAAGAATGTCAGTGATATTAAGGAAGGACGGTGAAATTAGATTATACACTAAGGGTGCTGATAATGTAATATACGACAGATTAAAAAGTGCCTGTCAGCAGGAGGTGAGGTCCAAGACGCAGGAGCATTTAAATGTAAGCACATTTATTTTGCTATTATGTCACTAAACACATTTGAATTATTAATAATAATACGTTAGTATATAGCATAGTATTATTAGATATTTTTTACATTTAACAATGTAAAAGAAATATGTAGTTGTGTATTAAATAATGTAATTCAGAAAAATTTTTATTCCTACTCATTATACTTCTAAAAGTATTACGGTTCCTTAATTCATATATTTACATGTGTGTTTATTTTAGTATTTTAAATCGACTTATGAACTGATTTGTAAATAATTTTGATATGAAACGAAAATATTAATATATTATTATTAGGTAAACCTCTATACATAATTTGTAAGCGTCGTTATTTGCTTATTAAAACTTTTGCTACTGATCAGTGATAGCTCGGGGTTCGGGCGTTTCCCCTTTAATCAAATTGTGATGTCGGCACCAAAAAAGTTAGTATTTTTTTTATTACTGCTCGTCGGCGTACGGAAACACCGTAACAGAAAATCTGTACGCTTGAATAATAACAAATATAGAATTGAACAGAATCGTTCCCAAAAATGATACGAAATTTAAAATAATATGCTGTTTTTTTTAATAACAAGCATCATACACTGTCCTGCGCTTATGTAGTCTGAACATTTATTTATCTGTATTTTAGAAAAGCAACAAAGCTTACGCATAGCGGGTAAGTAAGTAATGTGCGACTTTATCGAAACTTGTTGTTTGGCCGTTTAAATTATTGAATCGTTAAGCGAGAAAGCGCTACATGGATTTCGGTTGTCCGCTCAGAAATTCGCGGGCGAGGGCCTGCGCACGCTGGCGCTGGCGTGGCGGCCGCTTGAAGAGCGCGGCTTCGCTGAGTGGAAGAGGCGCCACCAGGCGGCCGCACTGGCGCTACACGACCGCGACGAGCGGCTCGACGCCATCTACGAGGAGATCGAGACCGACCTGCTGCTCATGGGTGAGACTGTGCTAACACCGAGCTGGCACTGTGCTGACAGTGCCGACAATACTGTACTGACACCGTACAGACATTATGCGACACTGTACTGACACTATGCCGACACTGTACTGACACCCCGTCGGTATTGTGCTAACACCGAGCCAGGGTGCTGCCACCTTGCCGATACAGTGCCGACAATGTGCCAACACAGTGCCATCATAAATGGGGCGCCCTTCAATAGTATAGAGATTCCGGCGAATTACAGTTCCTGTTATAGCTTTGTAAAGTCGTCTAGTGTGAACAACACGAGGCACTGTGCCACTTCTAGTTTTCTCACAAAAGTATGCCTTGATGGACTTTTAGGGACGATGAATCTTTATGCCCATTTCCATACGTAAAACACTTTATACACTATAATAAAAACGTAGTTTATTTAAAGTTATTCTGGATCCTTCTAAACTATACAAACGAGTGCAGCAACTCTTATGAACGGTGGCGTTTTGGCTTCAGCTTTAAATTTTTTATAACAATCAGTTGCAAAATCAACAGAAATCTATATCAATGCGGCTTAGGATAAAACCAAAAAAATTTGCGTAAAAGTATGTAAACTTTACACACGCCACTTGTACTATATTTAGTCGTGATGCATCTCCAGGTGTGACTGCCATTGAGGACAAATTACAAGACGGTGTTCCGGAAACCATAGCGAACCTCAGCATGGCCGGAATGAAGATATGGGTCTTGACAGGAGACAAGCAAGGTACACTAATGGTTTTATGCTACTGTAGGAATTATTGCCTTTTATCCTAAGATAAACACTAATTATTCCTATAACTTTGATGGAAAGACTATAACTTACTTGTTACATGAATCGATTAACAATTATATGTACTTTCGAGTATGCTAGTAATACTAATTTTTCATATGTATATTTATTATAGATTTGATTAAAAATCTTTATGTAAAAGGTATGAGAATGTTTCTTAACAATGAATTTTATTAAAAGTAAATTTATTAAAAAAAAAATATTAAAGTGAATACGCTAATCTCCATTGGACTTTTTATACAAGATTTAGAGTTGGGTATCTAAATTTTAAAACAGTTCCCTACCATTATATATTATTAAATTAAGCGAATGAGATCAAAGGCTGGTTCAAAACTGTTTTTTGCTGTTTTCCCACTATCAGTTTGATGAAAAGGGTGGTACAATACATTCATACGTTTGTTATATGTCTAATTTGTCACTTTTAATTCGTCGCACCACGTAATTAAAACAATCGTGTGTTGCCGTAATTGAGCCAAAATTTAGCCACCCCGCTTTCCGCAGAGACCGCCATCAACATCGGCTACTCGTGCCAACTGCTCACCGACGACATGGCCGAGGTGTTCATCATCGACGGCGTCTCCCACGACGATGTGGACCGGCAGCTCGCCAAGTGCAGGGACTCGATACGGGTCGTCAACACGTTTCTGCCGCACGGTAAACTTTTTCAGATTTTCCCTTTTGAAGTTATGCAAAGAGAAGCGATCAGACTTGTTGTCAATATGTAAACGTATAAACGCAATGATATAGTTAACGAGCCCGAAGTGAAGTCACTTACGTGTGAAATGGTAGTCAAGCCAGTGGGCAATGGGTCAGTTTTCGGTTTAAAAAAAATCTCCCCGGCAACTTTGAAGTGATATTCACCATTTTCCAAGCTCATTCCGTAGTACGTTCCTTTCAGGACGCGTGTCAACTTTGAAAGTAGTAACGGAATTCTTTTTCGAAGGGATGGCTACGATAGATATTACTGCTTTACTACCAAAATAAGTAAAGTAACAGCCTATAAATGTTCCACTGCTGGGCAAAGGTCTCCTCTGTAAAAAGGGTATCAGGACATAGTCCACCACACGACCCCACGGATGCGGAATAGCGGACTTCACATATTTTCGAAATATTTTTTTTATTATTATTTCGAGAATATGCAGGTTTCCTCCCGACGTTTTCCTTCAACGCCGAGCACGTGATAATTCAGCGCTTAAAATTAACGATTTCATTTGTGCCGGCACCGGGGATCGAACTCAGGTTGCTCGAGTAAATGTAATTAAAGGCGAGCGCCCGGACACTGAGCTATCACGGCTCAAGTAACCAGAATAAGACTTATTACCAAATCTTTTAAATATTTAAAAATGAATTGCTGTTCATTTGTCTTGCCAAAACTCGAGAACGGCTGGACCGATTTGGTTAATTTTGGTTTTGAAAGATTTGTGGCAGTCCAGGGAAGGTTTAAACGATGAGAAATTATGGAAATATTGTATCGAAAATCGAATTAGCAACAATTTTATTTTCCCATACACAGTACCTGCCAACCTGTCAACTATGTCTGTGTAACCTGTCAAACCCTTTATGCGTGCGTTCCGAAAATTCTCTTTCTATGTGTTCAGATTGACAAATTCCCTAGAAATAAGCGTCAGCTAGTCGTAAATATAATTATGATGGAATTGGTTTTAAGGCTCGTCGGAGGCGAAGGGCTCTGCGGCGAACGGCGGCGCGGCGGCGGGGCGCCCCTCGCCCGGGCGCGCCGCCAACGTGAAGCTGAACGCGCCCGCCGTCTCCGTAGTGACATTTAGGTGGGAACATAACTCACTACCGCCCCACAGGTAGACACCGACGGCCAACACTATATACCTCCCCGCCTACCGCTACCCGCCGCCCTGGACAACTACAACTGGCACGCCTACGCCAGCGGTTCTCAAACTTTGGACGATACATCGTCAATCTTTCGGATGTTTTATTAGCAGATGAATACGGCGTGTTAATACATTTCGTATTGACCGCCGTCCATTTTGGTATGAGACTGAAATGGATGGATGAGATGGAAATTTTGAAATGAAACTTAAATCATTATAATTATCATTTGCTGATTTCGCTCCTTAAACTATGTACTTTATTTTCAAAACAATTTTTGGATTTAATATTCGCGTGGAACTCTTAAAGAAATTTGTTTATAAGGTCAGAAGATTTGATTGAGAACCACTGGATTAGGCTGTGTGCAATGTTCGTGCGATCATTCCATTCTCAGCTTTGTTTCGAGCTCAAAATCAAAATTTGCTTTTACAATTCCGTTTATACAGCTCGTATTAAGCAATTGAAACGTATAATTTGCCATTCTTACAGAGAAGACAAAAACATTATATTTATGGATTTTATCCCTATTGATAAATTCCTTTAACAATAGCAAATACCTTTAAATATGGTGACAAAAATGATAGAATAAAGTATAACACAAAGAGAAGCTTACATAACTCTGTTCCGTTATGTGTTATCTTTCTATGTCAAGTGTCGTTTCCTATAACTTTCAATTTTTTGCGGTAAAGTAAACCGATTACTGCCGCCCCTTGAAATCCACAATCTCCACGGGATTGAAGTTGATACCGACCTTTCTAAAATTTGGCCTTGGCCACCAGACGAAACGCAAAACTATAGCTTCTACTTCACGTTGGTTGTCTGTGACTGCGTGGTACTTCCCGGCACGAGTACGCTAATCATGCAACAGCTGAACTACGGGGAGCTGTTATATGAGTTCCATTCCTTCCAGATTCTTTAGACTTTAGAGTCTAGAATCGAATGATGAAATATAGAACTAGAAAGGAATGGATACGCTATCATAGCCCCATTTTATTGAATTATCTTTAAGCTTAGTCATTTGGTGCCGACCAGTAGGGTAGGAATAGCTTTAATTGCGTTTCTTGTTAAAAAGCAAATCGTGTTTTAGTCGCTGTCCATAATACAATTCTAAAGTGCTGATGTCACTACCAAATCAATCTTATATGCTGAATATCGCTAGTAAATTTGTATTATTTAACTATTTTTAAGGTTTAATTTTGGTTTGATAAGCGGCACTGGTTTTTCGGTTTACGTCCAATTTTCGTCAAGCTGTAGTTGTCCAAAGTGTGCTACCGGCCTTACTTATTGCTCTGTGGCGTCTATTACTCCTAAAAGCAAGTGTATACTTGCCCTTTGTGTAGGCAATGTCTCTCTATTCGTCTGTATTTTGTTGTTTGTTGCTTCTGTATTGTGTGTTTATAAGTTTCAAATAAAAGATTTTCTATCTGTTTTAGAAACCGTTGCCATGACAACATTTTTCTCAAATTTTAAAGCGAAATCCTAGTATGATGAATCGTGGAATGGTATTCAGCATTGGTTAAAATTAAATAAATAAATGTTTTTAATTCCATCCATGGTTAATTTTTGATGAATGAATAGTTTAAACTATTCATTTTTCTGTGGTTTGAACTCTGAATAGAAGAAACCACTCGTTTTATACTAACACTGTTAACAAAACTTCTATACGCACCGTTGTTTGCTCCTCTTCGATAATTTTCTAATCACGATTTGCTACCACGTTTGTAAATTTAACAAAATGTAATTATTTATTAATTATTTTTAAAATTTTTTGTAAAGTTAAGGGTATTAATTAATAATATTATATGTTTAATAGATTTTTCTGAAATGTGTTATCCAAAAAGTATGTATTAAAAAAATGTTAATAATGTACGTAATATGTCAGATGAAGTAAAATAAAGAAATTATTCGAAGGCACGAATATAATGAGCCGATATGCGTAGATTGTCCTCGTTGATCTTTCTTGCCTAAACAGAAAGCCATTACCGAGCTGGGTATATCATGTACTCCGTAGTTGTATTGGCGTTCATTCTTGAAGTTCACTATGGTCGAATGGAAATTAAAAGCTAAATCCATAGAAAACTGTTATATTCCAATGCTTACAAATATTTACAGCTACGCCGTATATAGCGAACATTATAAACCTTATCTTATCAGCCGATACAGCCCACAATTCAATGGCAATTAATTACTCGAGTGCGCGATAAAAATAGAATTAGCGAGGCTACGTCGGCGTACCGTTTCCATTGCTCGTCGCGCACGGGCGCCGGAGCGAGCGCTTGGCGCGCGGAGCGGTGATCGATTGCGCGCGTGCTTCCAGCAACGAGTACAGCGCGGGCGGCGCGTGCGCTGCGGAGCCGCACGAGCACGCGGCCGACGACGCGAACGGGTTCGCGATCGTGGTGAACGGCCACTCGCTGGTGCACTGCCTGCACCCGAAGCTGGAGGAGAGGTATGTACTATATACCCTTTTCAACCGACTCCAAAAAAGGAGGAGTACTTCTTTAGGCGCGTTATAAAGAAATGATGAGAGTGAAATTTTAAGGTGCGCGTGAAATTTGTGTAACGCATCGCTGTTACACAAAAGTAACACCTTTGAAGCTGCCCGCTAAGCCGCTTATTTTTTTTTAATAGACGGTAGCATATTTTCAATCACATTCGCCCGTTACAGTTCTCAATAAAGAATGTAGATGGCGCTTTCATAATTTTATTATTTACATCCCTTTCCATTCTTTTCAACCGACTTCCAAATGGAGGAGGTTCTCATTTCGACTGTATTTTTTTATGTTTGTTATCTTTCGTGAACCGATGTTGATGATTTTTTTCACTGTTTAATATATTAATTTAATAGTTGATATTAATTTCACTGGTATTGGTTCTTCGGCTCCGGAGATAGTTAGGGAACTCCTGAAAATCAATTATAAAATGAATACAGCGCGAGATATTTGAAGTCGGTCTTGTTAATAAAAAATGGACTTGTTATGAGAGTAGTTGGCGATAAAAGTGGCCTAATTTTAAGTGATTACCAAACCGCCCATGGACATCTACAACAAATGACAGCCTGCGAACCATGAAAATGGACCCCGGTTACCTCATTTACTCGACGAAATCTAAAAGTGTACATTTACACTGCCTGCCCATTCGTGAACCAGCACCGCTTTCGCAGTGTTGCAGCTAAAATTTTAAGACTACCACAACTTATCAAATAAACAATGTGTAATAAATGACCTCTTTTTTATTTCTTTTTTTTTAGTAATTAATATAATGATATTGGTTACAAATACAAGATTCCTGGACGTGGTGCTACAATGCCGCTCGGTGATTTGCTGCCGAGTGACGCCGCTGCAGAAGGCGATGGTGGTGGAACTGATCAAGAAGAGCCGGAAGGCGGTCACCCTGGCAATAGGCGACGGCGCCAACGACGTCTCGATGATCAAAGGTAATAATTGTGTGTTGTTGGGTATTACTGTCTGTTTTCATATAGCTGGGAGATACATACATAGATGTGGTTATATTGTATAGTGTGGAAGGTGTTGGATATTACTTATTGCAACTTAGAATTGCAGTCTTCCCTTCGACAAATTATCCGCTTACGTGGGATAACATTGTCTTGTGTTGTAAGGATAAAACGTACTCGTGGACAAACTCTCAGATCTGGAATAACTATCTGCGGGTCGCACAAATAGTTTTTTGGGAATCGAACCTGATCTGACCTGACCTGGAAACTGATCGGAGTCACCATATGGACGTGGTATTTTCCGCAGCGGCGCACATCGGCGTGGGCATATCCGGCCAGGAGGGGATGCAAGCGGTGCTCGCGTCGGACTACTCGATTGCGCAGTTCCGCTTCCTGCAGCGCTTGCTGCTCGTGCACGGCCGCTGGTCCTACTACAGGATGTGCAAGTTCCTGCGCTACTTCTTCTACAAGAACTTCGCCTTCACCGTGTGCCACTTCTGGTTCGCCTTCTTCTGCGGCTTCAGCGCCCAGGTGACCTATTTTGTGTTGTTTTTTTTTTATTTGGACTAGCTATATTCTAAGCTGCAAGATTTATACTTTCGATTTTTCCCTTACGTGCAAATACGTCGTCAACTTTTGAACGAGTGGGCCACGGTTACCTGACTCGCCAAAAGAAACGCAATAGTATATAATACGATTCACCTCGGTCTTCTTTTAGGTCAGGATTCTTACCCGGATTAGCCTGCCAATTCGTGCATCAGCGACTAATAAATTAAATTTATTATGTATCGCCAATATATCTCCGATATTTATTATCTTGAATTACAGTTAACTACAGTGGTAATCCGATATTTATTATCTTAAATTACAGTGAACTACAGTGGTAATCCGACAAACATTTTGCAGGGCAGTGTCGGACTATCGAATTTGTCGGATTAAACAGCACTACCTTAGACCCTCCTATAGTATGGAACTTTTTGAAAAAGTGTGTCTTGTAATTCGAAAAAATACAAATCAAAATGATAAGATTTTATTTGAACTTCAAATCATACTACACATTACGTGTGTCGAATTCAAAATGCGCCGAGCACAATACAGTGTAGTGGCGTGTAAAAGTTACAAATATCAATGTCGGTCTCGATATATCGAAAAGAAAATATCGATACATCGGATATAGGTCCTCGTAAGACCTTTGACCCAAAAAAAAAGGTGTTCCAAATTTAAACATTTGAGTCCTACGGACTGTGTGCCGGATTCAAATTTGAAAAAATATCGTTATTGATAAAATTTTCATTAATGAATATTTTGTATCGACATATTGATATATCGCAGCAAAATATATCGACTGAAATATCGATAGCGTATATAATAAGATCCCCACCCGTAACGCTCAAACCCCTCTCACGCAGACGGTGTTCGACGAGATGTTCATATCGGTGTACAACCTGTTCTACACCTCGCTGCCGGTGCTCGCGCTGGGCGTGTTCGAGCAGGACGTATCTGACGCCACCTCGCTGCAGTTCCCCAAGCTGTACGCGCCGGGCCACACGAGCCGGCTCTTCAACAAGACGGAGTTCATAAAGTCCACGCTGCACGGCTGCTTCACGTCGCTCGTGCTGTTCCTCATACCGTACGGTTGGTACATGCCTCGACGCAATCCATTCAGTGGACGTTAAGCTCAGGCGATTGGTATTGATAAGCCCCCCCACCCCCCACACCTTTTTTTTCCTTAATGATAATGATATAAAACATACACGTGTCAGTTGTCTTATCCAACCAATGTAATATCTTAAAATTAAAGGTTATAAACTTCATTTTAACTGACTGGACCCACGCCTATCATGACTTGTTTTAATACAAATAATTATTTATGAATTCAAGATTAAAGTTCTGTGAGTACATTTTGTCCTTTGTAAGAAACGACGACATTTAGGATATTTTCTTTGATACTCTTCTGCATTCAGTAGAAGGCACAATAGTTTTGCTTCGTGCTATTCTTTCATTTGTTATTATAATAATATATTTTTATGTATTAGGTACTTACAAGGACGGTTTGGCGCCCGACGGCAAGATTTTATCGGATCACATGTTGTTGGGAAGTGTCGTCGCCACCATATTAATCATTGACAACACGACACAGGTAAACATGAGCTTTATTTAAACAAATTTAAAGGTATTTTAGTTTTATTACAACTGAATATATTTTTCCCGCATCAGGGATATAATTGTAAGTTGTTTACATTAATCTGTACGGACATAGTAACGTAGTAACCTGTAAATACGTCCCATTGGTGGGTTCAGACTCCCGGTCACAGATGAAATAAGGACATTTTTAGAAAAAAAATTATTTTTCAACGGATTATGGTCTGTCTATCTGATATTCCTCAATTGGATTTTTCAACAAACCGTGAACCTTTTGCCTTAAAATATGATGGCTCTATCGTAATTTTGGTAGGGTAGGAACAGGTTCGCCTGTTGCACAAATGTACAAGTCTGTCCGGGTAAGTACCACGACCTCACGGAAGATCGGTGGTGAAATGGAAGTGCCATCTTCTGCGTTTGGCTGCTGAGTTAGGTAGCCCATTTTATTATAAGGTGACAACACATCTCCAACCCTATGGTTTTTGTAAATATCCGCTATCATGTAACACGTGGTTTGCCACCTTCTCGCAAAAAAAAATTATACGAAATTAAAATTTTTTCGGGTTTTGACTTTGTTAATGATTCGAGAACCTTTTTAGTCTGCCTTAAAACAAGATATTGTCACATATATTTCCATATTATTCACTCGTGACCTATTTTCCGCTTTACGTTAAAGGCGGGGAATTGTTTATTTCGGATCGTTTCAGATCGCACTCGACACGACGTATTGGACGGCGTTCAACCACATCACGATATGGGGCTCGCTCGTTTCCTACTTCGTGCTCGACTACTTCTACAACTACGTGATCGGTGGGCCCTACGTCGGCTCGCTGACGGTGGCACTCACGCAGGCCACCTTCTGGTTCACTGCCGTGCTCACTGTGAGTTGGATTTAGACGTTGCACTTGTAACAATATAATGTGTTAATTAAATCTGACAAACAACAACTACTCTTTATTTTTTAGGGGCATAATAGCAAATCGAAAATATAACATATCCTGTGTCGCTTTGGTATCTGAGACGAGCTCTAGTGCCAACTCATATGTTGAAGTTTGTCAAAGAATTATGCATATAGGATAAAAAAAGAAATTCGCGCTCAAAAAGCATCACCCTGCTTCGGCAGTCGGGCACGGAGTCGGGACTTCTAACACTTGCCTCCTTTTAACACTTCGATGAATGGCTTGCCGGCAGATGATAATCCTGATGGTGCCGGTGGTGTCGTGGCGGCTGGCGAGCTCGTGGGCGCGGCCCACGCTGGCGGAGCGGCTGCGCGCGCGGCAGCGGTGGCGCGCCGCGGCGCCTGCGCCCCGCACGCCGTCCGCGCGCCGCGCGCGCCGCTCCGTGCGCTCGGGCTACGCGTTCGCGCACCAGGAGGGCTTCGGCCGGCTCATCACCTCGGGCAAGATCATGCGCCGCATCCCGCACGCGGACGCCGCCCTCTCGGCGCTCGCCTCGCTGCCGGGCAAGTTCCACCCGCGGCCCCCCACGCCGCCCGCCTCGCCCCCGTCGCCCCCCTCGCCCCCGTCGCCCCCGTCGCCCCGCGCCCCCAAGCAGGACCTCGACTCGGTCGACTTATGAGCTCGTCGAGACGGGCTGTAGGCGATTTGGCAACGTCGAAACGTCCGATCCGTAGGTGGATCGACTCAGTATTCGATTAGATCTCGTGACGTGCAAACTGCCGGCCGGCGGTGGACGGGCTCCCCCCTCCCGCCCCCATTTGTACTTACCCGTCTCGCCGCAGCCCCGCGCCACCGCCGGCGTTCCGCGTACATAGAGTTACTGTCATCTCCACTGTATTTAAGTGTTCTTCACTGAAAAGACGAAATGTACAATAAATAAGAGCGTGAGCGAGAGTTTGTGATCGTCGCAAGCGATTACAAACGACACGTAACTTTTTAAACAGACGGCATAATGTCGTCGAAACTCATATTGTGATAACGTTAATAGATTTAAAAATTCGTATAATATTATTGCCTATATTAAATTATATTTGTTGATCGAGAGTATATATTGATAGATATTTATTATGGTACATACTAAGATTACTCTTTTATATCGGAAACGTAGTTATTTCATAATGTTCCTTTGTACGTATAGACGTGTAGTTCCGTTGACCACGCGCACGACCCAACGATTTATTTTACACTGTCACGATGACACCAACAAGTGTAACATAATTGTGTAAATTGAAAAAAAAAAATATGTATCGTTAAAATGTTACCGAGACATTATTCCGCATTTGGTTAAGATCAACAATATATTTTTTATTATTCAATTTTAATTTGTTATTTGATAAATAGGCTTGATTTTTGTTTAATTTTGTCTCTGTGTCCGAAACCATAGTAAAATGTGCATTTATAAATTTTTTCAATGTACCAAATAGTGAAAACGCCACACTTCACTTACCTATGTATTAAATGAAAAATATTGGTAACAAAAATGCAAACATACTCTGTTATGATACTTTAGATGCGTGGTGGCGTACATTACTCTCAACAGCTCTGTAAGAGTTTTGTAGTCGTCAAATTTAATTAATAGTCCCTCATTTTGTGTTACGTTGGCATAAGACTGAATGTTTTTCTTTCTTTCCTTGTCTGTGCATGATATAGAAGGTATAGTATATTTAACATTCTCTTCGGATAGCCAGGATGGTCCATTCCACCATAAAATTTTCTGTTGTAGTTCTGACATTGAAGTTCCTCTTGAAGATATATGAGCTGGGTTATGTGATGACTGCACGTGGAACCATTGGGAAACGTTTGTTTGCTCTAGAATCTCCACTACTCTGTTCGCAACAAATGGTTTCCATCTATTAGGTTCTCCAATGAGCCATGATAGAACTATTGTGGAGTCGGTCCACGCAAATACATTTTCTGATGGTATTCTCATAGATTGGCTCACTTTATGTAGTAATTTGGCTAAAAGGGTGGCTCCACAAAGTTCAAGTCGTGGTAATGAAATCGTTTTAACAGGTGCTACCCTTGTTCTTGCCGCGACAATGTTTGTCTTTATATCTCCATTATTCCTTTTGACACGGCAGTATACTACAGCTGCATATGCATTTACAGAAGCATCACAGAATCCATGCAGTGTAACATTATTCTTTTCGGTATTTAAGGTCTCTAGCCATCGTTGTATTTTTACTCCATTTAGATTTCTTAAATCTTCTCTTATACATTTCCATTTTTCTTTTAGTTCTTCCTTGATATCTTCGTCCCACCCAACTCCTTTTAGCCACAATTTCTGTACCAGTATTTTAGCTCTAACAATGACTGGTGCTATCCATCCGAGTGGATCAAACAATTTTTGTAAATCAGACAGTACGGTTCGTTTTGTTATAATTGTTGCTATTGGTTTTAATTGTAGTTGATAACAAAATTCGTCTTCTCCGAAATTCCATATCAGTCCTAGGTCCTTGATAGTGCCATCTAATTTTAGGTCAAGATTGGCCTTTTTTGTAACTCTTCCAGCGTCTATTGATTCTAGAAATTTGGTGTCATTGGATGCCCATTTCTGAATTTCGAATCCTCCTCGTTTCAGAATCGTTATAATTTGCTTGCTCATACGGATTGCTTGTTCGGATGTGTCACAGCCCGAGGTTAAGTCGTAGACGTAAAAGTCTTCACGGATAACCTTGGCAGCCTCCAGATATTCTTTGCCTTCTTCATCCGCGAGTTTCATTAATGTTTTAACAGCAAGGTAAGGTGCACACGCTGTACCGAATGTGACTGTTTTTAATCTATAATCTTTTACACCAATTAGCTCGTGGCTAGTTCTATTTGCGGGGTTGCGACGCCAGACTATTCTGTGGTAATCCATGTCCTTTTCATTTAAAAGAATCATTCGGTATATCTTTATGATGTCACTTGCAAAGCATACTTTGTGCATGCGCCATCGCTTTATTATGCTTCTAATGTCTTCTTGTAACACCGGTCCGGTCATAAGCTCATCATTTAAAGACATTCCATTACTGCCCTTAGACGACGCATCAAAAACAACTCTAATTTTTGCTGTCTCTTTGTCTCTTCGAACCACGGCGTGATGTGGTAAATATACAGAACAGTTGTTTACTTAATTTTCTGGAACTTCTTCCATATGCCCCATTGATAAATATTCTTCCAATACATTATCACAATCTTCTTTCAAATTAGGTGTTTTCTGCAACCGTTTTTCTAGCTGAATTAGTCGGTTCGTTGCAATTTCTCTAGTATTTCCATCTGGCGTGAAAATTTCATTAGAGCGAAATGGTACTCTCACTTCCATTACTATTTCTAATGTAAGTTTCTTCATAAAAACTTTCACATCTAATTTCTTCCTGATATGTTAACCGGTATAATAAGTCTTGTACCAGGTAGCAATATCTCTAATCTTCCATCCAATGTCACCTGATAGCATCCAGTAGTTATATATTCGGAATCTGGTTGGTATCTAAATTTGCCACAGTTCTGTCCAGGTCTTAGTGTGCCTATTGTCGAGAATTGTGTCCCTGATAGTGGTAAATGTGCTCACAATTTGTATCAGAGTTTGGCCATTATATACATACTTCCCCCTCATGTCCCCATATTTGTAATTCACTACTTGATTCCCCATTTTTATTGTTCTAGACATACCCTTTTTGTTGTATATTTGAACGTCTCTTTCCTCTCTAGGATCAGGTCAAATTGTCATAGATCCCTTCTTATGTTCTAATGTTGTTGATTTCTCAAATAGTGCCCTTGCCCACAGAAATTCTATGGAATCACTCACTGATACAGATTCCATCATTGTAAAAAAATTCACATTAGATATGGTAGATGATAAACATATTTCTTTAAGCTCTTCTGCCGATATTTTAGCGTTCTTTCCCTCGTATATTATGCAACCTATCAAGTTTTTGAGTGATTGCAGCCACTCCCTTGTTTCTGAGACTCCCTCTTTTACATAATTGGTAACTACTAAGTTATTATGAACAATAGCATGTTTCATCTGTACTGATTGTTCGCCACTCGACGGCAGAATAGGCAAGTATCATTCTCTAGGATCCATAGCATTCAAAATAATTCTTACTTGCTTGGTAAGTGGAATATTGTCATCTAACTGAGTATACACTTTTTCTCTGAGCTCTTTAACTGCTGCTGTAGGCAATGCAGGATTGGGAATACAGTAATCTGGAAAGAATATTTCCTTTATGGCTGAGGATCTCAGACTCATGGGAAGTTCCACTAGTGGTTTTTGTGTCCTACTAAACTTCTTTGTAGCATTGGTGGTCCCCATTTTATCCTAGCTTTTTTCCAATCAGCTTTGTAATAAGATTCAACCATACTGTCCAGATTAGCAAATAAAACATCTGCTAACCTCATCAATCTCTCATCAGGCTCAGGACTATGCTCAATCCACCAGTCTATAGTGCTTAACCTTGCAAGCATGCGATCACGCCTGTGTGAATCTTCAGTTTCTTTGTTCCTTGAATCAAAAGCCAACAAAGCCCTTGGGATTGAATATTTCTTTGTTTCCTGTATGGAAAGAGCTAAAGGGAACTTTTGGTTCATGAGAATCATTGTTGTTGCTAACGGGTTTGGATCTTTCGTGCATCTTGAACATCTTTCGATAAGTTTAGTGTGATACATTTTTCTCTCTGCTATTATGTCTAGACTTTTCTGCTTCAATTTTATTATCATATTTGCCGCCTTGATCAAAATTCGTTTGGGTCCTTCATTCTTACTTCTACGATTGCAGTTGCTAGTAATGCTGCTCCTTGCTTATTACATATGTGTGACGCCACCATTGTTTCACCTTCTTCTCTTCCTTCATTTTGCTCCACCTTTGTATTTAGGGCCATTTCAGGTTGTTTACTTTGTGCTTTCTCAGGATTTCCTGTTGTGACACATCTACTCGTATCATTCTTTTTCATGAAGCAGAGAATGGTGCCGACGTTTGCATAATCTACAGCATACAGGTATGCAACACTGCCTTACTGAGTGTCCAGGTGCTAGGCAGTTGTAGCAGATTGCTTGTTTTTATAAATTCACTTCGCTGACGTGGTGTATATTTTCCAAACACTTTACAATGGCTTAATGTATGATTTTCACTGCACAATTGACATTTTTTACAAGTTTCGATGCTAGTTGTAATCTGAAACGACCTTTCTCGCTGATTACCAAAATTTGACCTTTGTATTGGTGGTTCTGTAAGCTCTAGTATTCTAAAACGGCTTTCCAAAAATTTGCGAAACATATCGAGTGAGGGTAGACTATCGGGTCTTGACAGTTGTTACTAACATGTTCTTCCCAGTCTTTATGTGTCTCAGAATCTAATCTTTGCACTACTACAAATATTATCATCGGATCCCAATTTTCAGTACTCACATTCATATTCTTGAGATGATGTAAACATTCAAAAGTAGTATCTAGTAATTTTTTTATGAGAGATGAATTATTAACGGGTACTATTTTCCGCTGAGAAAAAAGTCTTTTCATTACAGCATTAATGCTTATGTGTTTGTTACCGTATCGTCTTTTTATATATCCCACGCCTGTTCATAATTAGAATCAGTCACCTGTATATGTTTTAAAATTGATGCAGCTTCTCCAGTAAGA